ATTACATATGGCTGAGTAAGTGATTCTGTACTTAGGAAATCTGGATATAAAGTTGGCTATCCAGCCACAGGAAGTGCTGAGATGAGTTTAGACAGTTTTCCAATAGGAAGGGAGGTGCAGTTGCAGAAAGTTAATTTTGTACATTTCCGTTGTATGTTTCCTATGAGAACATCTTGTCTGATAGATGATCCTCTATCACGATATTCCCAATCTTTCTCCATGTCTCTCGTCGTCATCCTTCAAGAGCAAGAGATACTTGCCCTACTTAAAATCCAAATACACTGCATGATCATGGTCCTCTCTGCATCTCACTGTATTTACTAAGGTTCATCATATTATTGTTTGATTCTCCTTAACTTTCCTAGTTTTTCCTTCCTTCCCACAATTTATAGACTTTTAAAACCTCAACCTTGATTGTATTTAATCATTAAAGGTTGATTTATCCAGTCTCCTGTTCTATTCTGCAGTTGTAGCTCAGCGGTAACCCTGTCACCTGAATCAGAATGTTTAGATTTCAAATTCCATTTCAGAGAACAGAGTGTAAAATTTAGACTGATGTTTCAATGTGCCATTGTTGGAGGTGTCTTCACTAAGAGATGTCAAACCACACCCCCATTTGTTCTCTCAGATACACAAAGAATCCCGTGACATTAATTTTAAGAACAGCATGAATACGTTCTCTGGTATCCTTGTCAACCTTTATACCTTAATCGACTTTGTTAATTGTTTTTGTTCCTATTTTACAGCATCCGCAGTTCTTTCGGTTTTTATCTGTTAATTGTGCCTTCTTCGGCTATTCACTTTCCCAAATTCTTTATTTCATGTATTCAGCCACGGGAGGTGAGTATCACTGTCAGGGTCAGCATTTGTTGCCCATCACTAACTGCCCTGGAGAAAGTCATGGTGAGCCACTTTCTCGAATCTCTAATATACTGAAGGTGCTCCAATAGTGCTGCTAGATGGGGGTTCAAAGATTTTCATCCAACAATGAAGAAGTAAGGGTGATATATTTCCAAATTAGGACGACCTGTGACTTAGAGGAAAATTTGGTTATGGTTGTGCTCCCATGTGGTCCCTGACCTTGTCTTTTATGTGTCTTAGTGTTTGGAAGGTATTGCTGAAGATAATTTGGTGAGTTGTTAGAATTGATAAAGATTTCCAAATTTTGTTGAAGGACTATAGCAACCACTGAGTAGAAGTAATTATGAGAGATAATTTGGACACATATTGAGGATATTTTTAAATTCTGATCAATGCCCCCTGCCATTAGCAAAAAAATCACTCACCAGATCAAGGTATTTTTACTACTAAAGGTTTTTAACTTAGTTCCATCTGAACATCTTGTGACTGCTGTTTTCTTTTGGCATTTATCAACGCTTGTAATCCATTCCTGAGCTCTGTGAGACATTATCCACACATTGATGCTAATTTCCACAAACTGTCAATGTCATAGATTTCCAAATTTCCAATGCAGGAATGCCTCACTTTTCTTGGTATATGGGGGTCACAGAAACACAATTAGTCATTACCGGGTCCCGACCCGAAACGACAACTTACCTGTTCCTCTGATGCTGCCTGGCCTGCTGTGCTCCTCCAGCTCCGCACTGTGTTATCTCTAGTCATCACAGGTACTTGTTCTGTCAAATTCCAATCAGCCTATTACAGGACTTAAACATGTCATTGAGCATGCACAGCACAGGAGAACGTTTGTCCATGGTATTTGTACCAGCTGTAACTACGATCTAACTATCACAGGATCTCAATTGCACAGAATTTGAAAAAACTGCTGGAAAGAAAGAGACATACTGTCAAAGTCTTTCCCCTTGCAATCATCAGGACTGAATCTCAAGAATATTAAATTTTACAGGGAATTTCTCAAGACAGTATACATTGTTATTTCCCTTGAAATTTCATAGTATCCCGACTGTATGGAAACAGGCCATTCAACCTGTCGAGTCCACACCGACCCTCTGAAGAGCATCCCAAAGAGACCTGCCCCCACCCTTTCCCTGTAACTCTGCATTTCCTGTGGCTAATTCACCTAGCCTGCACCCCCTGAACACTATGGACAATTTAGCATGGCCAATGCACCTGTTTTGGATCTTTTTCTTTTGTTCTGTTCTCTGGATTGCCAAAGTAACAGTTTGGACTGGGAAGTGTGGTAGCAGGGGCCCACAATCACACTTGAAGGCAGTCCTCAGCAACTGGGAGGACAGAAGGCTGACGTTTGGGCCTGGGTGTGTGAGAAGGGCAGTGGGAATGGTTGGCAAACATGCAAGGGGAGAGAGAGGTGGCAATAAGGGTGGAGACAGGCAGTTGGGTTGGTTAATGATCGAGAGCGGGAGGGGAAGGCAGCTGCTACAATTGGGAACTGGTGGATGAAGGCTTCATTAAGACCCATGAATGTATGAATGCCATGAATGTTCTCCTCTTGATGCATGAGATGTGTAGAATACAGTAAAGTATCACTGTAGAGCCACCTCCTTTTCACTGTTAGCTTTCCTGGCTACTGGGAAACTGGCATGGTTGCAGCAAATATTAAAGCAAGTGGTATAGTGGTAATGTCACCAGTTTAGTAATCCAGAGCCCCAGCCTAATGCTTGGGAGATGTAGGCTCAAATCCCACCATGGTGTAATTTGAAATTGATAAATCTGGAATATAAAGGTGGCATAGTGATCATGACAACTATCATTCAAAACCTTTCGGGAAGAGAATGAAAATCTGCCATCTTTACCTGGTCTGACCTCCTGTTACTCTAAATCTACAGCAATGTGATTGACTAGTAACTCCCTTGAAATACACCTCACTCAGTTCAAGGACAATTAAAGATAAGCATCAAAAGCTGGCCTTGTGGGCAGTGCTTACATCCCAAGAAGGAATAAGAAAAGCATAGTAAGAGGACAATTTAAATACATTAAATATATAGGAATAGCCTCAATGCCTTGATATACAGTAGTAGGTGTGTGTGAGGCACCCATTCCCCATGTTAAAGTCTTCAAAGCTCAACCTTGATGTACAGAGGTAAAAAAGGCCATAACCTCTGCTTCCTGAGGATGCCAGGCTGCTTAAGGGCTCTCGTACCTGGGATGTACAAAGTTACAAATTCAATTGTGTTGCCATAAATGTGGCAGAATAGATAGTTGTCAGTGGCTGTTAATAAAACATATCATAATCTAGTCTTTGTTACTAAGGTAAGGAGTAGAAGATCAGGGAGAAATTGAGGAATTCTCCAGAATACGTGGAGAGAGTGCAGATAAATGTCATGATTTTGAAATACAGTCATAGAGTTATATAACATGGAATTAGATCCTTTGGTCCAACTTGGTGACCAGATATCCTAAATTAATCTAGTCCCATTTACCAGCATCTGGCAATAAGCTGAAAGACTCAGATAGCCAGTACAGACATGACGAGCCAAATCATTGCCTTCTGCACCATAACACTTCTACATTTCTAATGTTATTAAAAACCACAGAGAAAGATTTTCAATGTTTGTAGTCAGATTTGTGGAAAGAAATTTGAAAGTTCTTGAATCAACGTAACCATCAAGTTATTTCATAGAATCCCTACAGTGTGGCAGCAGGCTATTTGGCCAATTGAGTCCACACCAACCCTCCAAACAGCATCCCACCCAGACCTACCCCATCCTTGTAACCTTGCATTTCCTATGGCCAATCTTTGATTTGATTTATTATCATTTGTACCTAAGTCCAGTGAAAAGCTTTGTTTATGAGCAGCACAGGCAGATCACAGTAAGCAAAGGACATACAAATCATAGGGTGAAAATAAAACTTGAACAGAGGTATACAGGTTACATCACACAGGACATGCGCTAGGCGAGATCAACATTAGCAAGATCAGCATTATTTGGTGTTGGAGAGTCCATTTATCAGTCTAATAACAGCAGGGAAGCTGGTCTTGAACCTGCTGCTGTATGTGTTCAAGTTTCCGTATCTTCTGCTTGACGGAAGAGTTTGTAGGGGAGAATTACCGGGGTAACGAGCTGCGTAAATGGAGTCCATGGATGGAATGTTGTCTTCCATGAGGGTCTGTGCATTCAACCTTCGTTAGTTTCTTATAGTCTTGGGCAGAGCGGTTGCCATACCAGGCCTTATGCTTTCAATGGTACAACTGCACAAGTTATTGAGGGTCCTTGTGGGCTTGCCAAATTTCCTGAGCTGCTTGAGGAAGAAGAGGCATTGTTGTGCCTTCTTGACCATCCCAACTACGTGGGAAGTCCAGGACAGGTCGTTGGTTATCGTCACTCCTAGCCGATCCACTTAGCCTGCACATTAGGGCAATTTAGCATGGCCAATCCACTTAACCTGCGCATCTTTGGACTGAGGGAGGAAACTGGAGCACCCGGAGGAAACCCACGCAGGCACAGGGAGAATGTACAAACTCCACACAGACACCCAAGGGTGGAATTGAACCCAGGTCCCTATCTTAGGGGGCTCTTGTAGGAGGACCAGGTTCAAGTCGCAGGTACGTGTATTATAATGTGAACAGGTTGATTATAGCAAATATCTCTATGCCAGTTAGAAAGGGTCTTGCGATGCAATGGTAGTGACACCACCTCTGATCCAGGAAGTTTGATGTACATGTGTAATAACATATCTGAACAGATTTGCTAAAAGAGATATGAAAGCTCATTGTGAAATAAATGCCCGCCGACAAGAAAGGCTGGCTGTGTTTAAAGATCCCGAGCAGCATGCCCCTTTAATTGGAAGCCCCGCTCCAGGCGCCAGAACGTTCCATTGGCGCCAAATGTTTGACCTCGCCTGGACCATACCAATATCAAATAGGGGGTGCAGACGGTGTGCAGTGCGTTGAAACATTCTTCTGTTCCAGAATTAGAGGGAAATTTCAAACACAAACATTAATGTAAATTAATAATAAATAATAATGGATGGCTCGATCAGTTGAATGTTTCCATCCCATGTATTTCCCTTATTGCCTTTCTTACCACCCCTCGGTCACTGATTTGGTACAGGTTGAGGGTGAGCCGCCATTTTCTCGGAGTTTTGCCGCTTTCGGGTTATTTTTGTTTATTCTTTTATTGTCGCTGCTCCAGATCACCGGCGGCGGAGGAGGTTATTTTTGTTAATTTAATAACGACGGTCGGAAGGCGGTGGGGAGGAGAGCCTCCAGTGCCGCTGAGGGACGCGAGATATGTACATTAAACAGGTAAAGGCCCCGCTCGGGGGGGGGCGAAAGGCCGGGCCCCGGGGACCCCGCTCGGGGGTCGGCGAAAGG